ATTTTATTTTATTTATTTATTTTTGTGGTACCAGGGATCAAACTCAGGCAGGTGAGGCACCACTGAGCTAAATCCCTGGCCCTAAGGAAATTTTTATTGAGAGAGATAGCTCCTGAGAGACAGGAGGGGACCTGAAAGTGGATTGCCACTGAGCCCACTTCTCAAAGAAAGTTTTATAGAGAAAAATCACGAGGTAGGTACAACGTGGGTATCAACCAATAAGATTACAAGTAGAACTGCTTAAGTAATATTGACCCAATGGGGAACCAGGTCACATAGAAAGTGTACATGGAAAGAACAAGGACCTTTTTAAGAAGGGATGGATCAGAGGGTCTTGGTCATGCACCTGGATGACTGATGTCTAGCTAGACTGTTTTGGACCAGGCAATACCAGTTATCTTATCCCCTGGGGAGGAATGTAGGCCTGGTCATTCTGTCTTTATGTTGAGGCCTGGCCTTCAACACATGCGCCTCCAGCCCTAGTTGTAATATATTTTTATCCTCTGCACTGACTCCCTCAAAGGCCTAGCCCTAGACTGCCTAGCATATTTTTACCTAATTTAGCTGTCTGGGCCAGGGATTTAGCTCAGTGGTTCCACTGCCTGCCTTGCAAGTGCAAGGACCCAAGTTCAATCCCTGGTACCAAAAAAAAAATCAACCTAATTTAGCTGTCTATAATAGTAGGTTTTTGGCCTTTGTAAATTAAAACCACACAAAATTCCAGGCTTACATCACATCTCTGACTGGTACCTTACTCAAGGCACCGACACACAAAATATGATACAGTCAAAAGTGGGTGGAATGGAAAGTGAAAAATGAGAGATTAAAAACCCATAAATATTTCAAAATATCCAACCAGTTGGGTACAGGAGGAGGTCCGAGAACTCCAATTTATTCCACTGGCTACAAAAGTGGCTTAAAAGAAGAAACACTGTGCATGCCTCTCAAAAACCTAATACAGCAAGGAATTGTGTATGTAGTCACTTTTTATTTTTATATTTTAAAATGTGTCTTTGTTTATAATGAGGGAGCACTACTGAGGTGGGGAGACCACTCTCCCTCCATCTGCTGGAATGTGGGCAACACCCCAGAGCCAATCCTGTTTCCATTGTCCTAAGAGAAGCAGAAAGAAAAATAACAAAGTCCAGGAAGATCTCTAAAGCTTTGGGCCAGAGCCACAAGCTTGACCTACAGTACATTTTCCTCTCTGGAGCTTCAATAACAGTTGGTATACAAGGGCTGCATGTCATGCATGTGATTATAGCAGAGTGCATTATGGGAAAGTCATGCTCACTGGATCCCCTTGAGATGACTCAGCATCCTGTCAATCACTTTGTCAGTCATATCTGGAGGGATCCAATGAGAGACGCCGCAGACGAGAGGCACATGTGTTAAATCCAAAAGCCTGATTTATCTTATTCTCCTATTTTCCTGCCAACCTGGCATCACTTCGTTCCTGGTTGGTACCACTTGTTTGCTTCCTCTGAGTACACGTCCCCTGATCACTTCAATTAATATAGCTGCTTTTTCTTCTGCCATCGGGTGTACATTTGCAATGCTTCGCTGCTTTTACACAAGAATTTGGACTCTTATCTCTCAGGAACCCATCACTCGCATTATTTAGGTTTTGGATTCAGTACATGTATCCAAGACTAATCCACATAAAGTAAGACATTCTCTAAACTCCAGCCATGAACATCAAGTTGCCACTATTCCTGGAACCTCAAGCTGGCTAAGCTGTAGCAGAGATCTCTGGTTCTCCTCTTTCCCTTGCTGACCTCCTTCTGTTCCAGTCCACTGTCACTTTCCAGGCTAAGTTCCAAATGAGGTCCAGAGGAGACTCAGGGTCAGACTACCCGGCTACTGTTCCAGAGGGCTTAGCCTGTTGTGCCTGTGTCTGTTTTTGCCAGGATGAAGTTCAGATTGAGATGTGCAGTACAACCTAGATGTCGTGGGTACTAAGGCAAAAGCTAAAGTGGAGCAGTAGCATGAGCTAGGACACGGATGTGTGCACGCCCATGAGCACACACGCAGTACCCCTGCTGTCAGGAACACAGGATCCCTTCAGTCGCCTACCACAAGGCAAGCTGGGTGTGGCCGTGAATCACAACTGCTGAGCATTCTGGAAAATGCTCCCCAAAATTATGCTAGTATCTTTTTAAAACAGAGAAAAGGGAGAACAAGAAGAGAAAAATACAATTTTAAAAACCAGTAACTTACAACAGTTTAAAAAATATGTAATCTAATTGTCCTTTTATAGCCAGTAGCTTAAAAGAAACTGATCTCTTCTGAGGAATGTTTAAATTAGCACGTTCTGACCGGCTCAGACAGCTGTTGGCACCTGTGTGACTTGGGTAGCCTGTACCACCAGGGTACAAAGGGATCTACTCACTTTTATCAGTCTGTTTACCAATAAAATTAATAAAAAGCCACCCAATAGGACAGTCATTCATGCCTGTGCCACTGGTGGTTCAAGCTGCTCAGCAGTGAGACACACAAATCATCTCCCAGTTGTGAATGTGTAAAGATGACCAACTGCTCAGCAGCCATTAGAGTGGCTTCAGTGAAAGGGTACAGACTAGCTTTCAAGGCACCTGGCTCCCACAAATCTGTTGTTTGTGTTTGTTTGTTTTTTGAGACAGGGTCTCGATTTGTAGTTCAGGCTGGCCCTGAACTCACTATGTAGCCCAGGCTGGCCTCAAACTTGCAACAATCCTGCCTCAGCCTCCTGAGTGCTGGGATTACAGGCATGTGCCACCATACTCGGCTTACAAATTTGTATTTTTAATAAAATTTAATGGCCTTTCCTTTTTGTGAGGATGAGCATGGTTGAGTTCACATTTTTTATATCTTTTCGGAGTATGATTGACCTGCTTGGTAAAAGCATCTTTCCTTTGCCCCACCCAGTGCAGCACACCTTCCAGGAAGGGATTAGTTTGGAGTGAAAGAGAAGCAATGGCCTTGCAGGTAAGGAGGAGCTGGGGAGAGGGTTCTTTAGGATCCTGGCTTTCAAAGGTAACGACAACAGTGAAGCCCCATGAGAAGATGACAGACTGATTTATTCATTATTATACAAGGCTAACGAAGGCTTGACACCAACCTTTAGAAAGTATTTTTTCTTTTCTCAAATAGTAGAAAATAAGAATGCCTTGAAAATACTTCAACTGAAAGGCGGGTCTTAGCTAAGTCCCTGGAGTAATTTACAAGCTCTATTTCTTGTTCCTATCTTTTTCCCCTTTGCATCTTCTGTCCCCATTTATGTTCCTGAAGAGGCCTGCACTGCAGCTTCCATCACAAATAGGAATGAAATGTGCTTATACAAGAATCAGAATGGCTCAAACTCCTTTCTGCTGCCACTCTGCTGTGAGATTTGGACCGTTTGTATTAGCACAGTCTCTGCTATAATCTGAATCACACTATGCCATGGGTAGAGAAAGACTTCAAAATGAACTACAGCCACCAACCTTTAAACAACTGGCACAAGCTGCAGGAGACGAGTTAGAACACTGCTCCTCTTTCCTCTCTCCTGCTTGCTCAGTGGTGTTATATTGATCACTGTTTACACTTTGAAAACTAAACCATGTAAAACAGGGGTCTTTCAGAGAAAATGTTTATGTGGTGTTTTGTTGCAGCAAAGGGTAACTGCAGAAAAGATGCCACTAATGCAAGACCAGCAAACCTCAAGTTATTACGGTTGAGTTAAACCATATTTTCTGAATTACTTTTTAATATGCATATGTTCACTTTTTAAGCCAATAAAAACAGCAAGAATCAGAAGGAATTTAGCTCAGTGGTTCTGCCACCTGCCTCGAAAGCGCAAGGTCCTGAGTTTGATCCCCGGTACCAAAAAAAACACACAAAACCCAGCAAGAATCAACTTGGTTATTTTTTTTTTAATAAATTCTTATTTTCTTCACTTTTAATTGACACATTATAATTTTACCTATTGAAACATCCCAGTGTGATATTGTGATGACATATATAATGTATAATGATCACAGGAGGGCAGTTAACCTCTCCGTCACCATAAATGCTTGTTGCACCTTTGTTTTGGAAACATTCAACCTCCTCTCTTTTAGCTATTTTAGGATTGTTCACTCTTTCTTAAACCAAGCACAGGCATGAGTAAAAGGTACCATAAAATTTTGGGCATGGGTATAATCCCAAAGGTTTGAAAGTCCTGCTTTCTTCTCTTGCTCCTGTCTGTCTTTCAGACAAAGCCTCATTTCCCCCTATATGCCAACAAAAATTTGAAAGGAAAATAACTGACATGAAGGCATTTGGGCAAAACTGTCGCTGCCATTGAGCTGCTGTCAAGTCTCATGCAGCACCCACTCTGATTCTAACTGCTGTACCAGACTGCTTCCCACTTGTGAGATACAACAAAGCTGATAAAGAGACAAAGCAAGCCAGGTGTGGTGTGCACACCTGTAATCCCAGCACTCCGGTGCCTCGACCTGCACAGTGTAGGGTCTGAAGCTGGGCAGTGCAGTGGGAGATGAAAAGATGAAGAAACCAAGAAAGAAGGATACATACAAGATTATGCTTGAAACTTGGGACCAGGTGGAGCCATAGCTTGTCAGGAGTTAATGGCCGCCTGGAGCACCACTTGCTCTTTATTTATAGTGGAAGGCAAACAGGAAGAGAAGGTGGGGCAAATAGTGCTATGTGGAAGAAGGTAGCATGACTGTTTTCTGATCTGGGCATGTGCAGTAAGGGAAAAGGGAAGGATACAATGTAACTGCCCCCCCCCCATCCAGGGTGGACACTATGAGTCAAACACTTGACTCTCTAGGGAGGAGAAAGGGAGCAAAGAAGAGACAAATGACCATCTTTAGCCTCAGCCCGTGGCACTCTGGGAAGCTGGGGCAGGAGGATTGAAAGTTGGAGCGGCGCCTGGGCAACTCGGTGAGACCCTGTCTCAAAATAAAAAGAGCTGGGGGTGCAGCTCAGTGGAGAGGCCCGGGGGGGGGGGGGGGGGGCAAAGGAGAACACAAATCTGTTTTTAAAAGACTATAAATTATAATCCCAGGTAGAAATATTTATTTTCACATAATCTACAAAAGCTCTTCTCCATTAAGCGCAGGTCACTGAGTAATGCTGACAGGGGTACATACTTTTGTAAGAAGCAGGATTTCCTCAAGGAACAAAGTAATTAAACCACAGTATGAAGTCATACTTCCTGGTATTAGACTAATGCACCTTTAAGAGCTACAGATAGGTACGTGTCATATTGATCAAAAACCCCAAGAAGGAAAGAGTTCTCTGAAATGGTTTTCAAGTCTTCCTGTATGTGAGGTAGGCAACCTAACATATGCTAGGTGCTCAAGGCAAGGTCCTGCTAGGCATATCGAAATCTTCCCTGGTCAGTGTGGTGGGACATAAGACTGTGGATCAACAGGTCATGATTGCGAATTTTGGTATATGTGCTGCCGAAGCGAGCGCATGATTGCGAATTTTGAATAATGACAAGAAAGAACGCACCCTGGTCACTTTCTTCAGCAGTTGAAATTTACGTTGCAGAACCTGGTGGATGCTTACCTAAAAATCAACAGACGTTACATTTAGCAATGAGGAACTCAATTCACTGATAATTTACACACAAAGAATCTAACTGTAAAAATAGTATTTTATCTATTTAAATGACCTGATGTTACGAAATGGAAAGGTCCTGCAGATCCCCGCTCCAGGACAAGGGCAGCTGCTGAGGTGCTCCTGTTTGCTTGGGCTCACAGTTGAGTCCCTCTCTGTATCTGGCTTTTGGCCAAAAGACCTGCCCTCGCCAGAGTCTTCGCCTGCCACACTTAACGACGAGTCAATAAGAGGGTGTAACAGTCCGTGCCCCTTCCTTCACTTCTCCTCAGTCCCCGCGGGATCAAGAGATCTCTACCGCAAACTGCTCACAGCTCCACATCTCTCTACCCAGCGCTGACTTCAGCACTCCGTCCAGCTGGGTTCACAAGCGCACACCCCAATGATCCTCCTGCACATAGACGCCAACTCGGAGTCCAGGGAACCCCGACCGAAGACAGGTGGTATTGCAAACGGTCCCAGGAATCAGGCTCTAAAGCAGAATTTGGAGCTGGATCCCCTGCCTGCCAGCCGTCCCGGCCCTGGCGCCAGAGTGGCAGGCTGTGCCACGTGCTTACCAATTTGAATCCTCTCCCTAGGCTGGGTCCCAGCTGTAGTCAAATGAACCCAGGGTTCTGCGTCTGACTTCTCTCTCGTAGCTTGAGCGAGACTGCCCCAGCCAGGCGGAGGGAAGGAGGTGGGCAGGGCCTCCTCCCCCGGGGATCCCTCCTAGGTCAGCGCCAGCTCAGCTCCCGCCGAGAAACCGACTCCGGGCCGTTCAGGAGCCCTGTGAACAGGTTTCTGCATAGAACCAAGATTTCAAAGAACTTGCACGATATTTTAACGTGAAAATTTAAATGAAAGTTAACGTTTGTATAATGTGCTTCTTAATCCTCACAACAGCCTTCAGAGGTCGGAACTATTATCATAAATATACCCACATTAAAGACGAGGATTTTGCAAATGGAAAGGGGACCAAGAGATGGAGGAAGGGAGAGCGGGGAAAGGAGGGGGAAAAGAATTAAGACGTGTTATTTGCATGTACCAATGCCCCGCGATGAGTGTAATCATTATGTACCGCAAACATGTACTAATAAAAAATAATTTAAAAAATAAAAGTGAAGAAATTAAGCTTTTGGTAACTCTAAGCACCCGAAAGTGGAATCAGAACTCGGTTTGCCGGAAGCAAGCTCGGTAACTAAGTAACCGCCTCCCGCGCATGCGGCATCGCAGCCATTGCAGGGGTCCCAGAAGGCGATGCTGAGGGGCGGGGCCTCCAAGAGCCCAGCATTCCCCACGCACGCCAAGATGGCGGCGCCCATATTGAGGCGGCTTTGCCCCGGAGGGTGGTCTGGTACCCCAGGGTCGTCAGGACTCTTTCCCCTGGGGCTGCGTCAGTCACACTCAGGCGCTCAAGGGTTACTGGCGGCTCAGAAAGCTCGGGGTCTGTTCAAGGAGTACTTCCCGGAGACGGGTACGAAAACAGAGCTCCCAGAGCTCTTCGACCGGAGGTCAGCGGGCCACTCTCCCCAGACCATTTACTGCGGCTTCGACCCCACGGGCGACTCGCTTCATGTGGGGCATCTGCTGGCACTGCAGGGCCTGTTCCACTTCCAGCGAGCGGGCCACAACGTGATCGCGCTGGTGGGAGGTGCCACGGCGTGCCTGGGAGACCCGAGCGGCCGCACTAAGGAGCGCGAGATGCTGGCAGCCGAGCAGGTGCTGGCCCACGCGAGCGCTCTGCGCCGCGGGCTGCAGGCCTTGGCCGCCAATCACCAGCAGCTTTTCGCCGATGGGCGGGCCTGGGGCAGCTTTACCGTGCTGGACAACTCGGCCTGGTACCAGAAGCAGGGCCTGGTGGACTTTCTGGCGGCCGTGGGCGGCCACTTCCGCATGGGCACGCTGCTGAGCAGGCTGAGCGTGCAGACGCGACTCAGGAGCCCCGAGGGCATGAGCCTGGCAGAGTTCTTCTACCAGGTGCTCCAGGCTTACGACTTCTACTACTTGTTCCGGCATTATGGGTGCCGGGTCCAGCTGGGCGGGTCTGATCAGCTGGGTAACATCGTGTCCGGATACGAGTTCATCCACAAGTAAGTGCCTACTTTGTAGACCCTACAGAAATCCAGGGATTAATAATTTACACATTAGTAGCCTATTGGTTTTATCCGTCTTAAGGACCTAGAATGACGTTAATAACATGGGCTGTGCAGGAAGTAGACAACTAGTCAAGACTCAGGTTGTGTCTGCTTCCCGTAAGTCGCCTGTTCTTTGTTTCTTACTTTAAAAACTGCATTTGTGTAAGGTAACGGGGCATGCTTTAGTGGCCTCTGTTAGCTCTTCCCCCTCCATGAAGCTAGTTCCAGTCTTTGGCATCTCCGAAAACATCACAATGCCGAATATTTGACAAGTAATGTAGATTTCAGTAGGGAGATGTAGAATAGGGCTAGCCCGTGTGCTATACAGAACAAAACTTATTTTAAAAATCCCTTTAAAACAACTCCTTTAGTATTTCTTCCTGACTCACCTTTCGCTCGCTTTTCTTTCCTCTATTCAACTGGCTTTCCAAAAATCACTTCCCGCTGGCTTGCCCAGAGCCACACTGTGCCTTGGCAGTTTAGGATGATAAATGTAAACATAAGGTGAGTGATGTAAAAGAACAGAAGAGGAACAAGAATCTATATTTAGGAGATTGAAGAATTATTTTGGAGCAAATAACCGGACTGAAATCTTGAAGGGTAAGTAGTGTAACTTACCACTAATTGTGCCTGAAGCAGTCATGAAATTCTTCATGTGCAGATTGACTGGCGAAGATGTATTTGGAATCACTGTCCCTCTGATCACAAGTACAGCTGGAGCAAAGCTGGGAAAATCCGCTGGCAATGCTGTGTGGCTGAACAGAGAAAAGACCTCTCCCTTTGAATTGTATCAGTTCTTTGTCAGACAGCAAGATGATTCCGTGGAAAGGTGAGTCCTTAAGAAGTAGGCTGAGAACCATTAATGTCATAAGTTAAAGATACAGTTTTCTACATTCAATCTCTATGTACCCTTTATACTTTGTTTGTTTGGTTTTTTTTTAACTTCGAGTCTATTTAAGGCATTATGTTACAGAACATTGTAACTTTAACTGTGTTCTTTAACTTGAACTTTTTTGTTAGGTAAGATAGAATACTATGGTGGTTAGCTAGAAAGTGTAGAACCAAGTTTTTATCTGTATCTAGCAAGTACTTAGGATTTTATCACATATATATTCTAGTCTTTTCAACTCCATTCATTTTAACTACTCTTATTTTGTTTCTCCTGTCATGGGTTTGACTCTTAACATTTGTTTTCTTTAATGTATCATAGCACATCCTTAGGACTCTCCCTACACACACTGGGAGTGGTACTCTACCACAGAGCTACATTCCCAGGCCTCCCTTCCCCCCTCCCTCCTTCCCCTTCCCTCCCTGCCCCCCCTTCTTTTCTTTCACAATACTAGGGATTGAACCCAGAGCCTTCACGCTTAGTTATATCCCTAACGTTTTTTTTTTTTTTTGGTATTGGGGATTGAACTCAGGACCTTGTGCTTGCAAGACAGGTGCAGTGCTACTGAGTTAAATCCCTGGCCCCCTAACACATTTTTTTATATTGATTGAAGGTCTTACCAAGTCTCTAAGTTGCCCGAGCTGGGCTCAAATTTGAGATCCTCCTGCCTCAGTCTCTCAGAGTGCTGGGATTACAGGCATTCAACACTACACCCAGCTCTTTTTTTATTTTGAGACAGGTCTTGCTAAATTGCCGAGGCAAAACTTGAATTTGCAATCATCATGCAACAGCTTTCCTAAGTGCTGGGATTATAGACATGCACCACCATGCCCTGCAAGGATCATTTTAAAGCAACTTTCTTGTTCACTTACATTGCCTTATACTCTTAGAAGAATATAAATTAAGGCAAAATGAAGTAGACCTGCAGCAAAGGAAAGTAAAAGGATATTTTGATCTTACTGTATTATCAAAATAATCTAGGAATAATTCTTTTAAAAATTTTAAATGTGTAACTTTCGTGCAAAGCATCAGAAAAGACTTGACCAACACAAAAACCTACATAAATGGAGAGTTATACCATATTCATCGTATAGACATATCAATTCTGTTTGATCCACATGTTCACTGTAGTTCCAACAATACATAAACAGGGCTTTTTGTGGAACTTCAAGCTTATTCTAGGTTTATGTGGAAACAGAGACATCTAAGATTGCCAAGACATTTTTTTAATGTGGTGCTGGGAATTGAATTTAGGGCCTTGCACATACTAGGCAAGTGATCTACCACTAAGCTACATCCCCAGCCATACCAAGACATTTTTGAAAAAAAAAAAAAGGAAGATGATATGACTTACTGCAAAATTATAGAAATTAAGGCTTTCCCTTTGGATTTATGGCCATATGTTTGATGATATAGTCCTAGGGTTTTGATGTATCAAAAAATTATGCATTTTTGAAAGTTTCATTTTCTGTTTTTGTGAAGGGCTTGGATTTACTCCCCTCCCCCCCCCAAATTCTCAAAACTGTGAGCAAAGGACAGCCCAGTAGAAAAAAGAGAAAGAAACATGAGCAGGCATTTCACAAAGGCCCTACCCAAAAGACAGTAAAAAAGTGCTCAGCCTTCATGATAAAAAGGAAAATGCAAGGTAAAGGCACAGTGAGATACACTACACCCTCCATAGTGGCTAACTGTAAGACATGGCAGTACTAAGCATCCATGAGAATGTTCCAAGGTGGTAAGGAAGTGAACTTACAGATCTGCTCTGGAAAACTATTTGGTAGTACCTACTAAAGCTGAATATGTACATATACTGTGACCCCCACAGGAGTTCTCCTGGATACATACCCAACCGAAATGAGTGTACGTGTGCACCTAGACCTCTTAAATATATGAAAATATTCATACCAGCATTATCATTTGTACAGAAAGTAGAAACAGTATAAATGCCTGCAGCATATTGGAATAAATAAATATATGATGTATGAATAGTCACGGGATGGAATGCAACATCATGAATAAATAGCCTAAACATACTGATGTTCCAAAGTAGCCAAATACAAAAGTATATTCTCTTAGGGCTTGAAATATTTCACTCCAAGCTCTCCTTGACTGGAGGGTTTGTGTTGAGAAGTCTGCTGTGATTCTGATGGGTTTTCTTTTATAAGTGATTTATTTCTTTCCTCTAACAGTTTTTAATATTCCGTTCTTGTGTTGAATTTCTGGAATCTTAACTATTATATGCCTTGGTGTAGTTTTTTCTGGTCATGGCTGTTTAGAGTTCTGCATGCCTCACTTACCTGTATGTCAAATGTTTTCTTCCATGCTTAGGAAGTTTTCTGATACTCTGAACAGGTTTTTTATGCCCTTTGGACTATCTTCTGATTTTTCATTGATTCCAATCAATCTTATTTTAGTTACATTACTTTTCTCATTGCTGAGGCAAAATACCCCACACCCAAAGTTAAAGGAGGAAAGGTTTATTTCAGCTCAGTTTGTAGAGGGTTCAGTACATAATCAGCTGGCTCCAAGGCAGGTTACCATTGCAGAATGGCATCACAGAGGAGAAACAGTTCATAGCAGGGAGAAGACAGCAAAAGCAAACAAGCAACCAGCAATGAGCCTCTTTGTTCCTTATATCTTATCCAGGCTACCTGCCCTTAATAGTAGTACTCACACCCTTAATCCTAGCATTGCACTATGAATCAATCCCAGCATCACACACACAGGTAGATCCAGCCACCTCCAAAAAGCTCCACCTATGACCAAATGAGGTTTAAGGGAACATCTAGACACAAGCCATAGCATTATTCTTCTTGGCATTATCTAGCAGCTGTTGGATTGATTTTTCATGGTCCCTTGCTACAAGAATATATTCTTTATGATTCCATGCATGTGATATCATGGCAAAACTTGCTGGGCACAGTGGCACGCCTGAAAGTGACAACTACTCTGGAGCTCAGGCGGGAGGTGCCCTTGGTCCAGGAGTTTGAGGCCAGCCTTGGCAACACAGTTCTATCTCAAAAAAAAGGGCAAAACTAAGTGATGCATTTAGGGAAGTGTACTGAGATGTTACCGTAGTTTTAAAAAAACAAGGAACTAATTATCATTAAGGCAGAGTAATGATTAAGCTGAAGGGAGCCTGGGGATAGATGATATGCTTGGGCTTTGTTGGGTAGAGGCATTGTATTTTTTAATGAAAGTGATGGTTACATAGACATTTGCTTCATGATTTATTAAGCTGTTTCATGTACTTTTTTTCTTTGTCTCATTTCAGCAAAGAAAAGGTTAGAAATGTACAGAATGTCAATTTTTAAATTATGCAATACTTTTTATTCATGGGTGTATACACATGTAAGTCAAAAGTACTGCATAGCAGCAACTTGCTCAGGAAGGATTTAGATTAGTGGTTATCACTGGGGACAGAGAAGGGAGTTTGACAGGACTAGAGCGTTTATATCTCATTTTATTTCAGAGAACTACATGAAAGGCAAAAAGGTAGCATTTGTAAGTCTGGGTTGTATATGCATGAGTGTGTTACATTATTTTCAGTACTTTCTGCGTGTTAATATTTTCATATTTAAAAATAAAAAAGTTTGAAAAGCAAGCAGGATGTTCTTTAAAGGGTAAGGGAGCTGGAGATAAGAGTTAGTATATGATATAAATGTAACCTTTATTTCTTGCCCCCAAGGTACCTGAAGCTCTTCACTTTTCTGCCCCTTGCAGAGATTGACCATATTATGCAGCTGCACAGCAAAGAACCGGAAAAGCGAGGTCCACAGAAGCGACTTGCTGCAGAAGTAACAAAGCTTGTTCATGGACAGGAAGGATTGGATTCTGCTAAAAGGTAGTCTTTAAAGCAATTAACTCTTGGTGAAGTTTAGTTGATAGACTTGAGAAATTATGGAGCTATGCAAGATAAATGTGGCGGTTTCAAAGCTTTTGGTGTGGACACTCCATAGCTGGGTAATGTGTACTGGGACATGTTTGAGGCACTTACATGATGGCTTCCAAAATGTCTTCTAGGTGTACACAAGCCCTTTACCATAGTAGCATAGAAGCACTGGAAGTCATGTCCGACCAAGAGTTGAAAGAGTTGTTTAAAGAAGCTTCATTTTCTGAATTAGTTCTTGACCCTGGAACAAGTGTCCTAGACACATGCCGCAAAGCAAATGCCATTCCTGATGGTCCTCGAGGGTAAGATGATTTAGCTTTTTGATTCAGTTACTTTACCATCCATTGTTATAATTTGTAGCGTATTTCCAGAGAGGGTGTTTTCCTAATAATGTTTTCATAGGATCTCATTTCTTTTAAAAGTAAAATTCCAAGAATAAAGTGAAAGCAAAGTACTTACTTTTGAAAATGCCTCAAATTAAAGAGTATTCCCATACTCCTTAACTTGGTTAGTCTTCCCTTCAGCACTCAGTCTTGTGTTGAGCAGCCCTGTTGTTTAGTAAATGTGCTCCAGGATCAGTTAGCTTAGGGCTGTAGTTACAAATTGACAAATGAACAGAGTGACATGACTCCTGTCATACTCAGGCTCTATCCCCTTTATTTTAGGGGACAGAAGTTGAGATGGGCGAGGTGGCACATGCCTATAATTCTAGCACTTTGGGGGGTCAAGGCAGGAGTTCTAATCTAGCTCAACCAGGGCAACTTAGTGATTTAGCAAAACTGTCTCAAAATTTAAAAAAAGAGTCAGGGTGGTGATATAGTTTAGTCTGAAGACCCTGAGTTCAATTCCCCATAAATAAAAATGAGTGTGTGTATGTATGTGTGTATATATATATATATATATATATATATACACACACAAAAAAAAAGTTGATTGAATTACTGAAAATGAGATGTAATTTCATAAGGCTTATGAAGTACAAAATAACTGCGTTTTTCTCCAGGAAGTAAGCAGAGTATTTTAATTCCTGTTACACCATATTATTAGAGAATAATATTTTTTACTCCATAAGACGTTATCTGGCATATAATTAATGGTTACTCATTTGTAACTGAATAGTGAGAGGTAGAAGGAAAAACATTAGCCAGGAATGGGCAACAGAGATTGGATCTCTCTAGTTACTAAACATTTCTATTTTCAGGTATCGGATGATAACAGAAGGTGGAGTCAGTATAAATCACAGACAAGTAACAAATCCTGAGACTGTTTTAGTTGTTGGACAACATATTCTCAAGAATGGACTCTCTTTACTTAAAATAGGAAAAAGGAATTTCTACATTATAAAATGGCTTCAGTTATGAAAAAAATCCTTTTGGTTGTTCACCTTTATCTGTCATTCCCAAAACATAAGGAAAGTTGGCTTCAAAATGAAAGAGAGGGATCACGATGTAATTTATTTTTATGAGTTGGTTAATAAGTAAAGTGTTTAATGATGGTTTATTTCTTGGCCCATGGACATTACCACAGAAATTCATCTCAGGAATTGAAGCTGGGCATGGTGACACATGCCTGGAATTCCAGCCTGGGCTACATGGTGAGTTTAAGGCCAGCCCAAACTACATACCAAGACCCTGTCTCAAAAATAAAAGAATTGATCTCATAAAAAGTCTGTTTATAAAGAACTAAATGATGTCTTCTTTTTTTTTTGGTACCAGGATCAAACTTGGGACCTTGCGTTTTCGAGGCAGGCGCAGAACCACTGAGCTAAATCCCCAGCCCAAATGATGTCTTTTCTAGCCTCTTTTTTGTTCTCCGTTTGGAAGTGACAAGGTAAAAACAATAGAAAGATATGTTAAGAAATATGGGCCAGGGATTTACCTCAGTAGTTCTGCCACCTGCCACGCAAGCGCAAGGACCAAAGTTTAATCCCTGGTACCAAAAAAAGAAAAAGAAATGTGAGTATATTTATGTCAAGAAGGGAGTATTGATCTCACTAATAAATGAGCCATGCCTCTAGTGTCAATATTAGAAATTGGAAATCTATTGGAAACAATTTTTTGATTATTTTGTTGTTGTTTGAGAAGCAAATAAGAGTTCTTGGAAAGTTAGTTGAAGCTGTAGTTGCCATTAACAATTACGGTAAGAAACATTTTCAGAGAAAAGAACAAATCAGTACTGTTCAGAAAGTTTCTAATTCAGCCTGTATTTCAATCAGTATAATTGTTTACTTATAGCCTTTTGTAAGTGAATTCCTAATGTAACAGTATTTCATAAATTTAAAAACGTTTTTATTTCAACTCTGTTCCCAGGCAGATTGAAACTGAGGTAAACTGAAAAGGTAAGGAACCAAAGGAGTAAGAGTTAGTTTACCAAATATGAAATCCTATGAGAACATAAGATACCCTGTTGAAGAGCGGGGCGTGGTGGCACACGCCTGTAATCTCAGCACTCTGGAGGCTAAAGCAGGAAGATCACTACTGCAAGTTCAAGGCCACCACCTGGGCTACACATCGAGTTAAGGACAGCCTGAACTGCCTAGTGAGACCCTGTCTCCAAAAAAAAGAAGTTTTTAAAAAAGATACTCTGATCAGGGAAATTTCAGGTCAAACTAAAGAATGAGAATCAAGACTGAGTATAGGTCTGCATATATTAGTTAAGTTTTCCTGTAAAGCTGTTTCCACATCTAAAAAATCAGGGTAACAGCACCCTCATTTCCTCTGGGGAATCAAGTAAAATACATAAAATATTCATCAGATTTCATCTGAAAACCTCGCAGGCAGCAAAATGTGGCTGATTATAGCTAGTCATGGGATTACTTGGAGCAAGTTACTGTCTTCATATGCAGAAATGGAGCTTTCCTACCTCAGTGAATGGTGAGACTCCACGAGAAATTTACAAAACTTCTGGTATGGCTTAAAGTCTGCTGTTAGATTCTGAAGTAGATTTCTGTGCCAAAAAGCTAGTTTATAAACCTTTTTCTGAAGTAGGTTAGAAGAATTATTGACAAACTTCAATTTTGTTTCATACTAGCAAGTTTATTTACACAGGAAGAACATTACAGGTATCCATTATAAGTATGTCCGAGATCATCTCCACATTTTAGAACTTCACTCAGTTTAGAGCTGACAAAGGAGTCTTTCTCTTTCCTTAAGTTTCTTGCCTGTTTTTCTTTGTACAAACTGTGTAGTACTAGCAAGTGCATTGCCATAGTATGTTTTTAAAGCCAACACTCAATTTGAAATCTGTTTGATGTATTGGGGAAAAGCACATTGTAAATTTTTTTTCCTTACAAATTCAAAAGGCTACAGTGGCAGTCATCTGATCGGTCTGAAGAAAAAAGTAAATCGTGGATGGTTATAATTTCAAAACATGTTTAATAATAGCAAAAGGATTTTCAGTTGTGCTAAGATTCTGGTAGCCTGCATTAACTGTCAAGGTGGTACTATTAATGAATTCAAGCAGTACTCTATCATGTCAGGCTGATTTTGGTTTTTGTGTTTGAGATGAGTTGCAACCTGTTGTTTCTTAGTAAATGAGTACCATAAGCTAACATTAACATAATCATATTTGTCCCTGCCAATAACCCTTAACAAATACCTGGTCATAACCTGAAAAACATTTAATATTTATAATACTAATTTACTTAATGTGTTATCTGTTAAGAGATGGAGGTCTTAAGGATTTCTAGTCAAGTCTTTAATGTACTTTTTACCAAGAATCACCTGGGCAGTTCACATACAAAAAGTATTAGTTGTAAACATAACTCCCAACCCCTCTATGCAGTTTAATGGTCACACTTTCAGGCTGTGTGAATGTCTTAATTCTTTCCTTTAAATAATACAAAATGGTATTTTCATTCCACTGTTCTAATACAGTCTGCTGGTATGGAGAAAAAGTTATTACAAACCACTACATTTAAGTTCTCCTTCAAACTGAATCTTAGAGCCTAGTATCTTAGTGCCCCATTTTAGAGATCTTTAATTTAGGTCATCAGTGGATCTTCTAAAACTAAAAGGAACTGGCCGTTATTACCAAATCTTACTAAGATAATCAAGCCCAGATGATTGTTTTAAATGCAGTAAATCATGACTTGTGCTTTTAGGTTTAAGTTACAATCAAATTGTATTTTAATTTTTAACACACTAGTGCAACAGGGACTCCAGAATGACAGAAGGGCCATGTAACTAACTACACGGTATGTACCCAACACTCTGTCAGTGTTCCAGATCCTCTTTAACTCAGCTTTCCTACCAATGCAGCAAAGACGCAGAGATTTTAAAAGCTGAAAACCGAAGGGCGAGTGGAATCCAGTGACTGTGTGTGTGTGTGTGTGTGTGTGTGTGTGTATGTGAGGAACTTGCCAACCACGTCTTGCACAGCTGGGTGACTTGAAACAGTGCATGCATCAGAGTTACACGAAATGTCTTGGCGCTTTCCTCATGGACTACGGCAGCAGCTTTAAAACTACTAACAAAAATTACACAGGTCATCTTATCCACGGGCAAGTGGCTTTGTACAACTAGAACATCAACAGTTCTTAAGTTCAAATGAAACTGTCACAAGACAGACATGTATATGTATAGGAAAACTTTAGAAACAGCCATTTATTATTTGGATTAAATGTGTGATTTGTTCTGCATTGCGGAATACACTTCAGTTTACAGCCAGTCTTCACATGAGATTTGCATCACTGCAGTACCCAGTAGTTCATAAATAAAATTCTACTCAATAGGCAGTAACTAGCAGGTTTCATGTCAACAGTCGGTGTTATATAGTTCTCTTCACCAAAGATGAGTCTCTCGGATTTCAGCAATAATTTGACTGGCTCCTTGTAATGCCTGCATTAAAGGAAATAAAAACTTTAAATGCTTAAGTTATGATATTAATTTGAATTATGTAGAGAAATTTCTCTACTTGGTGTGTAGCATATTTTTACTAATCAATATTTTCTCTGAAATTTGAATCTAATCAAGTCCCAAAGGGAAGAAGCCTACTGTTCTATAAAGATTGTATTATCCAAGGATCAGGATGCACTTTAAGTTATCTACACCCAAGTATAAACATTGGAAAAAGCTTGCAGTAATACCTTCAGCATGTCAGCTGCTTCTTTCCTACGCTGGGCCATGTCCTCAGATTCAGTCAGGAGATCATCCAATAAGGACGATTTATAAAGTTGTCCTACTAGCTCACTCTGAAGAGTATCTTTCACATGATTAACCAAAAAATGCATTACTGCCTTTGGCACGCTGAAAAACAAAACCAAATTATGAAGTTTTGGCAAAATCCCTTTAAAAATTTGAGCTTAGAATCTGGCCTCGAAATAATAGAGCTAAATAAGAATGCTGAGCTAGCTGGGTATTTCTTGCTACCAGGATATTTCTTTAATGGTATAATCAATCACCCTTCAGATTTTTACTTAATTATAATCAAGCAAGAGATAAGTCACAATTCTTGGTATTGTACCTTTTGTTTCATTTCCTCCATTATATCAAAACTGATGAACACTATTATAGGTAAAATACATGAAGAACTCAGGTATCTAAGCTGATGAATGATAAAATATGCTGTATCTATATAAGCTAGTATTAGCCATAAAAAGGAATGAAGTACCTTACAAGTACAATATAAATGAACCTTAAAAACACTTAAGTGAAGGCTGGGGATTTAGCTCAGTGGTTCTGCCACCTGCCTTGCAAGTGCAAGGACCTGAGTTCCATCCCCGGCACCAAAAAAAAAAACAAAAACAACACTAAGTGGAAGAAGCCAGACATAAAAGACCAAACCCATCTTTGGTGTGTTCCTACTTACACAAAATGTCCAGGATAGGCAAACTGATAGAGATGGTAGATTGTGGGGTGGAGGTAGTCATTGCTGATAGGTATAAGCTTTCTTTATGGGGTAATAAAGATGTGACAGAACTAGAGAGCAATTAGCATTGTACAACTTCATGAATATACTAAAAGCCATTACAAAATATACTTAAAATGGCAAATTGTATGATATATATGAATGTTAAAAACAGCAACAAAAACCTTTGTAGAGGAAGAGGCAGTAAAAGAAGAGCTAGAGGCTAGAATTCTTTGTTTAGAACACAGTGTAGACCAAATAACTTTTTTTACTTTTGAGACAGGATCTTGCTAAGTTACCCAGGGTGGGCTCAAAAATGAGATCCTCCTGCCTTAGCCTGCTGGGATTACAGACATGCACCACCACACCCAACTAAGAATTATTGTTTCTACCACAAGCTAAAAAAATTCTATAGGCAAAAAAAATAACTGGTTATAGAGAAAATACCTGCTTCAATATGAAGTGTTAAGAGAGAGTATCTGGCTTTTTATTCTGCAGTAAAATTTCTTATTTGCTAATAGATCACCACAAATTAAATGCAGAATATTTTCTAAACAGCTACATTTTTCTTCTCCCTATTGCATGAAATGACATCACTAACAGTATGATGGACAAGACACTAGGCAACGGACATATGAAAAACATTCTGAATTAGAATGAGAAAATATTTCCCAATGAAAGACATTTAATATTTCACAGAATCAAAACACTAAAAAGGTAGTCAGTGTTAACTAGCCAAAATTAAACTACTTATTGAAATTTAGAAAAACATTTTCTTAGCTGAAAGTGTGACAACCAGATGGAACAAAAGGGTATTTAATAGCTTTTTCTAGCTAATGTGTCGGGTCCTAATCTATGTTAACAGATTATGAGTATTGCATGACAGTCATGCAAAGAGTATCCAATAATTCATTTGACTTAGAAACTAAAAAGAAATTTATTTTCAAAACAACATGGACTCACCTAGCAAAATTATAGCCTATGATTCACGTTAAGTAATACTAACCTGTCTTGAATATTCTTTCTGACAATAAGGAAATAAGACTTGATGAGTCGTTCAATAACCTCGCAATCTCTCTGTTCACGGGCAGATAGTTTTCTTGCAACAGGAACTGGCTAAATGGGGTGAGGGGGAAACATTACTTCTGTGCCATTTTGAAATGACAGTCCTCTTAACATTCAAAAGTTAAGTAAGTTTTTGAGATTTGTTCCTTTTGACTTTTTTGCTACTAATTTGGTCATGTTCTTGGTCACCTAAACCAAATTTCTTGGCTTACCACATCCAGCAGATTGACAGCATGGCCCTTCTGTGGACTTGCTGGCATAACTGGAATTGGTTTTGATTTTTCTTCAGCTAGTAACTCTTCAGCTTTTGAAGTTTTCAGCATTCCTCTCCAGTTGCCGGTTGTTGGTTCTTGACCACTATCTCCAACCCCACCACTTCCAGATGCAACCTGAAAAAACATGTTCCAAAACCTATACCAGCTATATCATCTCTAATATTAACTAAACAATGTCCGTTTTCTTTGACAGTAGTCAAGAACACACATCTAGTCCCCATCTGGTGCTTAATCTATTAGGAAGGATACTGGGGTCAGACAGGGACAGAGGGAAGCATGTAGAACTGGAAACCTGAGCAACCTACATAAGAGGTTCAGTTGTAAGTTGTTTGCAAGGTCTCAGCCAATAGAAGCCCTAAGTTTTTCTCGTCAGCTGCTGACTTTACAAAATTTTTCCTCTTCTACCATCCCTCAAACACTGGATGTTGGGTGTAAACAGTATAAGCTGCCCTTTAAAGTAAAATCACACTTGGGCCGGGGATTTAGCTCAGTGGTTCCACTGCCTGCCTGAGTTCGATCCCTGGTACCAAAAAAAAAAGTAAAACCACTCATTAAAAGTTTACACAAGGAAACAGAACTGCCTTTCATTTTAATCTCTTCAAAGTAATCTTAAACACTTGAACTATGATCTCTCAAGTTCCATGAACTTACATCTTCAAACTTAATTTATTTCTTCAAATTAGTTCATATTCCTAATAGCCAATAAAAACAGTACAAGGTAAAAGTAGAAACTCTTCAATAAAAGAAACAAGCCTATACTCTAGGCCAGTGATGGTAAACCATTCATGGCTTTCAATGATGCAAACAGCCTCCTGTGGCATGGCCCGGGACCCTGCCATTCCTTAGGCTGCCAGTCACTAAGCTGCCTCAGATGTGGAAGGTAACAATCACAGCCTATGTTCCTTCAGTACCCATACTCCTAAGGAAGCTGCGTTAGAGAAATCTGGTGCCATTAGTCAATTACAACTGCTTCTGTAACTGTACTTTCTAGGGTACTGATTAGAATCTTAGTTTGTAAAAAAAAAAAAACCTGACAATAACATAATTCATCAACATTTAAAAAGATGTTTCTAGGGGCCGGGGATTGAGCTTCATGGTTCTGCCACCTGCTGCACAAGTGCAAGGACCTGAGTTCGATTCCCGGTACCAAAAATAAAAAGATGTTTCTAGATTCTCTCTGAGATCTCAAAATCTGAGCATGGATTGTATGTATTTTAACAGAAGAGTGTTAGGGTGACTTATAAAGATGCTACTTTGGGGTATCATACTGAGTTGAAATACTGGTCAAAATCTGTCTCTAGTAAGTTACAGTGAGCTTCATTGAAGCATAGGCACAAAATACATAATTTTTAATTACATATAACTTAAAATTACTATTTTTAAATGCTTGCTAGTTACACATGAATGACAATGAAAGCTTAAGGAAAGTAAGCACATTCAGTGTGATGCCATGAGTGAAATAAAACTGGTTCGATGATTGGGATGGTTCTTGTAATACCTAAACACAGTGGGCTGAGAGAAGATGAGACATTTATTTATAAGGCTTCAGTTAAGGTTCAGAATCTTGAATCTGGGTAAGAAAAGGAACTAAATGGCAGGAAAATTAGGAATGGGACTGAATAATTTACACATCTAATTTTCTGCCATAAAGGTTATCAAGAATTGACAAGAGTCTCAAGTTCTCACAGTCCCGTTTGTTTTCAATTTGCTTAAGCTGCTGAAGCACATATGAAGGTATTTAGAGTGACAAGTGCACACTAACAGGAAGCATAAGAAAGAAGTGTTAGAGGATTATCCATTAGTCCTGGACAAAAGTCAGCCTTTAAGAGGAAATGTCCCAAAGTACAATTTCTATCTCTAAAATCTGATTTCCCTCCCAAAACGTGAAATTCAAAACTACAGTTGAAGGCAACAAAACAGCCTATTATTAATGAGAACAATGTTAAAACTGGAGTTACTGCCATCTTACGAAGGTTAGATAAAAGGAACATTAAGAACAACAGACAATAGATGCCACTGTACAAACAAATTCTTCAATGGTTTGAAGACAGTGTTTCAGTGAGAACCAAGGGTACCAACATTTCCATTCTGAAGCAAGAGACTCACATTTTTAGTTTCTCTTCTGCTGTCCTGAATTAACTGTTAAGAGATATGTTAAAACATGCAATTTAACAAGATTTAAATACCAATGGTTTGAAATTCCAAAAAATGCAAGATAATTTCTCCTCTTTAACTTCTTTTTCTGTGTGCATTTTCTACATTGCAAGCAAAAGGTGTCCACAGTATTTTATAAAGTATGCACAGCTATGGAACTTAAAAGTTTGCTTAAAGTTATGTGACCTTAGCATGACAGCCCAAACTGCTATTCTTCTCCATGTATCATTCCCAGAAGATCACGGTGCACTCGACAACTAGGCATGCAGGCTTAGATTCGAATCAGAACAGACCTTGCCGTCAGCCTGGGCAGAAGCAGCAGGGGAGGGCTCCTGGGAGGCAGGCGCCAAAGCACTTGGAACTTTAGAGGACTAAAGGCAAAAATGCAGGGAAAAAAATCAAGGGTGCCAAAAGTGCATTCAGAACAGTCTCTAAGTGTGAATTTTCCCCTCTGTAATAAAATAGTAAAATAACATGAAGAACAGTGTAATCGTGTGAGATAAAATTGTCACTCTGCCTTATTCCCTATACAATTGTCACCTTTGTTAAAAGTTTTCCTCAGAAGAATGAAGACCTAAGAAAAATACAAATCCAAACCCTCACTTTTAGTTTTGGTATCTAATATGATCTTTTCTGGCGAAGAATTCAAGGTAACATGATTTTTTATACATGTATTTTAATGTATCAACTATTATATTTATTATTACTGGTAATTAAAATCTCTGCCGTGTATATTATTGTCTTCCCTCTACAAAAACATATAATGAAGTCACTATTAACAAAGCTTACTGAATTTTTTTTTAAAAGATGCCTTGATGCCTAAAAGCCACCTTTAAACATTTATTCCCGTGTATTTGAAATACTATTATTTTTAACTTACTCAAAGCCTATTTTAAACTTGCATACCTTTACTGAAACTGCTCCAATGGAGTATTAAAAAGAGAAGAAAAAGTGACTTCTAGAACTGGGTAATATTCTGAGGCTTTACCAGTCCATTTCTGGGAATTGGGAGAATGTTTTAAAAACATCTTTTTTTTACCTTGTCTCGTGATACAGCTGAAGGTAATTCTCTTGCTAGCCTGTTTCTCCTTTGTTCCTATAAAATGGAACCAAGCAAAACAAAAGTGATTATCAGAGTACTGAGATAATATGTCTTCTAAAAAATGTTTGACTTAGGTGAAAAGTGGAAATAACTTACAGATCCTCTTTCTGTTGGGACTCATAACTAATTATCATATTTTAAAAGAAACAAATCATTTAACCCAGAGTGTCTCAATCTTTTTTCTGCCCCAACACACCTGAGGAATATAATACAGTGTCAGTAACAGAGGCTTTCTATACTAGAGATTCTCAAATGAGAGGAAAGACTAACATCTTTCCCTTTCCACCAAGTTAAGAAAGACTGATTTAAAACTGTTGAGAACAACATAAGCCTTCAGCATACTATGGAGAATCCAAAGGGCACAGATAGCAGGAAACTTTTAAGTCATTTAAATCTGCACACTTTTGTGTTAATTCAGACAACACCACACAACAAAACCATCACTTGAGGATGTATATGTGGTAGTAGTTATCCTTTAAAAATGTTTTATTTTAGTGACCCTAAACCATCACAATAGTGTTGACACCTATTAGACATATCGTAACCTGGCCAATTTAACAAATTGATCAACTGCTAATCCTATCAAGCCATGACACAAAGCTATAGAAACTGTTCATGCATAAACACTGCTGTATGCTAGCACTGTGACACCTGCAAGATCATGCAGGTAAAGAAGGGTGTGAATGGTGACAGTGATCTCTCACAGGCAGTTACCACTACAGCAAAAACACCATGGAGGGTAAATAAAGTCAGAATTGACCCTGCACCGAACATACTGCATGTACACTCTCAAACTCACAACATAGTCAGCATGCTTCATGGTAATGTCTTATGTATAGGGGGTTTTTCTTTCTTTGACAGAAATATGCCCATTTTTTATTTTTTCACGGGAGGTTATCCAGTGATAACAGACGGTAGAAATATATGGATTTTAACACTTCAATAGAAAGCATGTTTAAATGTACTTTTTGTTTTCTGGTACTAGGGATCGAACTTGGGAACTTGCGCTTTCAAGGCAGGCAACGGCACCACTGAGGTAAATCCCTGGCCCTAAAATGCACATTTTTAGAGGGATACAGAGCAAAAGGCAAGGAATCTGGAGAACAGGAATCCTCACCAGTCTTACCAACCAGTTAGGACCTTGACTGGTCATGGGAACCTGCAGACCTGTCTGCCTGGCTTTGTTAACCAAATAAGTCACCCTGGATTTCCTGTCCACAACAGTACCTACCCTCAGACACTCAGGATACCAGACTAAATCACAGCACCACCCACACACTCCTCCAGAGCAGTTGTCAAAGCCAGAGGCATGCTCACTTGCAGAAAATACTGATCTGGATCCTATCACATGTGACTTCAGTGACACAACAAAACTGCTCCAGATGAAAGTTGTCCAAGAAGACATTTTTCAGTTCTTAAACTCAAGAATTGTCTATCTGCCAATATTTAATAAAACCCTTATTAATCTACTTTCTGAGTATTTTAAAAGTATTTCTGAGTATGCACCTTGGAATTCTCTGCAATAGGAAAAATTCCACGTTTGTAGCTAAAAACTTATTCCCAGGACCTGTTAAAAAGAAGGTGCTTGGGCTGGGGATTTAGCTTAGTGGTTTTCCACTGCCTGCTTTGCAAGTGCAAGGACCCGAGTTCAATCCCGATACACATAAAAAAAAAAAAAAAGAAGGTGCTTGTTTTCTATATAACAGTGCACAGAAAAATAGGCACTGAAAGAGCAGCTGTTATCATCTCTGGGTATCATGCTCATCGTCTGTTTTATCCACGCTAAAGCCAGGGCCCTTCCATTCCCATATTCCAGGTCTACAATTAACTCACATGCAGAAGAAATGTGATACAGAAGGGGACTCGAGTCCTTCTGTATTAGGGAGCAGGAGGATAACTTACTGATCTGGGAGAAGAATAAAAGAAAACAAAAATACGAGCATCTGGATAAATTGCTGCAGCCCTCAGCACTGGCTCCATCTGCTATCATATGGAAATGGATACTAAGACCGATGATAGGCATCTGGCCCCCTAGTGGTAAAGAGTACTTTGCTTTTCCAAATTTATGAAAAGGTAGGTCACTCCTAGAATGCTTCTTTCACGGGTTTCAAAGCCCAATGAAAGCAATTTTAAGCATTCACTGAGTTTTACATACTGTACTTAAACCTGAATAAACTACAGTTACAGAAATGAAGCCAGGCAGTCCTTCAACACTAAAATCAATGAATTCCCAGATCCTGACTTGCATTTCATAATCAGAAAGAATACCTCCAGGTGTTTTGACAATTAAAGAAAACAATGTAATGGACCTCAGCATGTTTCTGGCATATAATAAGTACTAATACAGCATATCTGTTTTATAGTTACCTGTGCCATATAAGCTTGATATAATTTAATTACAACATATCTTTTTAATCTCTGAAAAAGGACAAATTGTATTTACCTCTATATTATTGTTCATTAGCCCACAAGCATCAGCGAAGTCAGGATGTTTTGTGTTGATATAAGCTAATTCAATGGCCACCAAGTTATGTACCTAGGAAAGAACGAGGCTAAGTATCCAAAAATATGTCAGTCTTTTTTTTTTTTCCAGTACCAGGGATCAAACTCAGGACCTTGCACTTGCCAGGCTGGTGCGGTGCCACTGAGCTACATCCCCAGCCCTGTCAATCTTACTTTACTTGAATAAATTTACATATAAGATTTAACAGACAATACTGGAAAAGTACAGAAAACTCATGCCTAAACAAGTACTCAGTAATTATACTCCAGGTGATCAATCTTATGGCAAATAACTGCTTGCTCTAGCTTTTTAATTATTTACATTTTCAGCATCTATAACTGCGTTTCTCAGGAGGAAAACTGACATTAAGGTAAGACAGGAATATTTTATTGTTAAAAAGGAAAAAGTTATGTGCCTGGTGCTTTAATAAAAAACTTTGCTGGGCCAGGGATTTAGCTCAGTAGTTCTGCTGCCTGCCTCGCAAGCGCAAGGACCCGAGTTCAATCCCCAGTACCAAAAAAAAAAAAAACAACAAAAAACTTTGCTATTCAAATTTAAGATTATGCATTGTTCCATGTGGAAATTTTATTTCCATTTCAACAGTAAGAAAACAGTTCATAATCAGTTATAAAGTTAAAGATGTTAACTTTATTGGGATAAAGGATACATTTAGACCTGAAGTAATACCTAGGTTTCATTATGAGGCATCTAATTAAAATATGGTATGTGGTTCAAAATCTAATGGCACAGTAATAAAAAAAACCGGAAAATAATTTCTAGTCTTCTACAAGATTCCTAAAAGTATTACAGAGAATAAATATTTTAGTATGTCTTTTGTACTGTCCTAAAAATCTCAGGTATGAGAACACCACCTACTGGTGCTGAAATGGGTAAACAGGATCTATTCAAATGAAGTTTCAATGATGCTCTGCTACTAGTGGGTAGAATCTGAGATCAGGTTAAGTTTCAATCTGATACTTATCCATGCATCACTTATATTTTATACTTCCAAGGGTGGTTTTTGTACTCTTAGTAAATCTCCCTCCACTGCAGCTTACCATCCAGAGCCAAGAATCCAAATGCATTTTTAGTGACCAACAGGAAACAACTCACCTAACAATTAGAGGCAAAAGGCAATTTCAAATGCTTATCTCATGTTTCTATCAATTTCAACTTTTGGGGGATGGGGGTGGATAGTAGCAACCCATAACAGTAGCAAGTAACACTGACATTATAGTATTTGGTTGCCAAATAAGCAAACTACAGAACAGGCCAAATTACCCTGATGTACTCTGCAATTAAGTAAGAACTTGGTAGAAAGGATTTTTTACTAAGACTGAAGGCAGAACTAATTTCCCATTAAATCAGTGGTACCAGTACATAATAGAGCAAAGCTATTTACAACCCTCAACAAAAACTCCATTCTCATGAACACTAGTGGCTATAAGCTAGCAATGGTTAAAATATGAAGAAAAATATACTTTATACAAGAATTGCTGAAAAATTTCCTTTGAAGTAAAACTGAAACTCACTCTTTTTACCTCCCAACACTGAGAAACATTATGCCCAAACCCTAATCACAATGCTATATAAACCAGCAGCCAAGCTAAAATTTAAGCTTTTACTAATACTGTTTATAATGATGACCTGAGACATAGTAGCTCACCATTTCATTTGTGACAGGCAGCCTTTTACGGAGAAGACAAGTCACTACTTCAACTATGGCATCATGAAGCTTAGGAAACCGTAACAATTCCTATGCATGACGAAGAGATAAAAATCTAAGTCTATTTTGTTTAATAAAAATTAAATAAGCACTAAAATACTGAATTAGACGTGGAAGTTACATTTAAGATTATTACAAATCACTTTTAGATAAGGGTACCAGATTTCAGCTTTTAGCCCACCTTATGTCATTTCTTCTTGCCCTGTGAGACCACCACCTCCAGCCCTTTACCAGTTCCATTTCCCTCAGTGACCTGTGTACTGTAATTGCTACAGTGCTGGATGATCCTTTGCATTTCCTCATGAACCAGTTCTACACAGCGGAGGCTGGGCTCTTCTAGACGTTTGATTTGCCGTTTGACCAATAGTTCAAATGAAACCTCAGGCACAAACAAAGCAGGACGAGGACCCTGAGAAAATAAAACATAAAGCTACATGTAATTTCAGTTCTTCCCAAAGGTTAAAAATAAATCACATTTTTGGTATTTTTTTCATGAAAAGTACTGCTTAATTTCAAAGTAAGAGAGCAAAATAAACTATAATTAATAAAAAAGACAGTAAGAGTTTAAAAAAGCTTTAATCTCATTTTTATGAAGTCTGACAGGTAAGCATACTCACAGTAGCATTCCTAATGGCAGTCAAAATATCAATAGTGTTAAGGCCACCTAATGGGTCAACAGATTCTAAGGTTCGGCCAAAAGTCTCATGGAAAATATAACAAATTCTAGCACCACCACATCTGAAAGGCAATGAAGTATATGGTTACTTCCACCACTGGAAGAGAAAGAACCTACTAGTTAGAAAGTCTTGGGCAGGGGATTTAGCTCAGTGGTTCCAGCGCCTGCCTAGCAAGCGCAAAGTCCCAAGTCCGATTCCTGGTACCAAAACAAAATAAGTCTTTCTCTAACCTCTGAGCATAATATTTTGAGACCGTTCATAAACAATTACATTTCATCCATTTCTGTTTCAATGTATTCTCATAATGAATCAGTTTTTCTAAGGTGTTTTGTTTGGTTTTTTTTTTAAAAGAGAAAAGGAGTCTTTCCATGAAAGGTGTGTGTGTATATATATAGTTGTTTACTCAATATTTGGACATAAATTATCAGTTAAGTAAGAGTTGCTAAAGAGCTTCCCTCTGCCCAAGTTTCTTCAGCTACCCTATGCACTCCCCTTAAAGACAGGGAACAGTACTTTGTTTCTGCTGACTCACAAAATTTAAAGATGGTAAATTTTTTCTTAAAAGGGCCAGGTGGTAAACAGGACATACAGTCTCTTTGCAACTACTCAATTAAATACAAAACCAGCCATACACAATATGTAAACAAATAAGCACAGCTCAGTGCACACCGAGATGTACATTTTATATGTTTTAGATGTCATGAAATGCTCTTCCTTGAATTATTTCATTTTTATACTAGGAATATGTATACTTATAATGTAAAAATCATTCTTACCTGTTGAATTGTTGTTTGTTTATTTTTGCTTTAGACAAATTCCTTGACCTCAGTATTAGGCACACTGTATTTTTTATCTTAATGACTAGAAATTCTGAGATTAATTTCTGTGGTTTTTTAAAAATTAATTTTATCAATACATTTTAGGTATACAATATAATGACATTCATTGTTGGAAAATTGTACCTTTACCTCCATTATTTATCAATACTTTTTATTTTGTTAGCAAGGATTCAACTCGGGTCCTTGTGCTTGCAAAGCAGGCAGCAAAACCACTGAGCTAAATCCCCAGCCTCTCATCAATACTTTTGTATAGTAGTTCAGGCAAAAGGTAGTAGTCTAACATTGTGCTAACTGAACCCAATTACAAGAGGATGCTGTATGATTCCACTTATGTGAAATATGTAAAATAAGCAAACTCAGAAAGTAAATTAGAGGTTACCAGGGCCTGGGAGAGAGATGACCAAGGAGTAACCACAGGAAAGATAGATTTCTCTTGAGGTGATGAAAATTTTTGGAACTAGATGCCAGTGATTGTTGCACAGCACTGTAAATATAATCAAAGCTACTGAACTGCACACTTAAATTACACTGTTAAAATTACTGGTCAATGGTCTCTTTTCTTCCAACCTTTCCCTTCACTGAATTATCCTAAAACAGGTTATACCCCCAATCAAAAGTATTTTTATAAGCTCTCCAAATTCTGAGCAAGATATTCAAGGCTTTTACAGTCTTGTTTGTAGGCACCTTTCCTGCCTTATCACCCATTAATGTACGTGCCATTCTGCAAATGCATCTTGCATTATTCTGTGCTGTTTCCAAGCCTAAAATGCCTTCCTCTACCGCATTCCCAGATTCTGAGCCCAATTCAGATGCCTCTTTAACTATGCAGCTCTCCCAATCTGAGAGAAATAGAATAGTCTCTCTTCAGTGTTCTTAAAGTTTGATTAGGTGGAAACAGCCCATTGATTAATAATTTATAAAACTCCACAGAGATATCTTATGCACTTTTCTAGATATGTATTATATTTAACAATAAATATTTAAATAATCATACTTTTGCCACTTATTCAAGCCTCGTATTTCTTTGACCTACATTACCCAGTAAACTTAAAGGTCCACTCCAATCACCTTTATTTCCCTCAGTAAGCCACACATACAATAACAATTCAATAATTAGTCTGTAAATTACCCTGAACCTATGGAGCTAAGTTATATGAAGACCGCCTAAGTCATATAAAAGCTACACATATACACAGATGAGTATATGTGTAATTGGTGAAGTCTGAATAAGTTCTGTGGATTGTCCTAATGTTTATTTTCTCCTTGTGTTACTGTACCATAGTTACATGCATGAGACCTCCCCATACATTTTTCTGCGACTTAATGGGTCTAATTATTCAAAAAATTAAAAAAATTAAAAAATAAAAACAAAAAATAAAACATTTTTATAAATGAAGTATAGGGGCAGGCAGCCAGGGCAGGCAAGAAAAAGAGGATGCAGAGAGAGACATTGACATTTTTACACAGTGCCAGCAGTCAAACAGTGCACTACCCTAGTAGCATGTAATAAGGAATGGACACCTGGAGGATGCTGTGCCCTCCCGTGTAGCAGTTCTACCTGTAGAAGCTCATCCTCAGGCTAGCCTGAATGCACGCCCGAAGCTACGTGCAGGAGCGGCCCTCACATCAGCTACGTTTGTGTACATATCACCAGTCTCATGTTTTCATGGTCCAAGCTTTCAGTTACCCAAGGTCGATGACAGCACGAAGTATTAAATGGCAAGTTCTGAAACTAAGTAAGTCCCTAAGTTTTAAACTGTGTGCTGTTCCTAGTAACATGCTGAAATCTCCCACTGCCCTGCATGAAATATGATCACCCCTGTCCAGTGTATCCCACCCATCAATCCTTTAGGAGCCTCTCAGCAGATCAGCGACCTCGGCTGGTATTGCAGTAGAGTCCAGTATTACCCTTGGTCTCAAACAACCACAGGGGTGTTGTGCTATATCTCCATCAGATGAGGAGGGACTTCTAGAATTGTGAACAAATTATTCCACACTAGGGGACTGCTTCAACAATTTACAGTGTATCTAAAAGGCAAAATGCATGCAAATCTTCAGACTGATAATTCAGTATATAACATCAGAAAGTGGTTTGCAGCATGCTCATCAAAAGAAATAATTTTCGAAGTAACATGTATAGCACCTGATTTTTATAGAGGTATAAATCAGGGGCTGGGGATTTAGCTCAGTGGTTCTGTTGCCTGCCTCACAAGCTCAAGGTCCAGAAAAACGAGGTATAACTCAGGCATTTATGTCTTACAGATGCATGGAAAAATGTCTAGGTCAATGTTAAATTTAGGAATTACCTCTGGCTAATAAAATTAAGGGTAATTTTGTTTTATTTTTACTTTTTTGGATTACCTAAATTCCCATGAACAATTACAGCTTTAAAGAAACAACAAATATTTTTAAAGCTAAATTTAAAAATTTTATATGTTTATTGAGTGGAACAGTACTTTAAAAACCCCAAATTTTTACTGTGCTTCAGATTATAAAACATTTTTATACAAATACCTGTCCACATTCTTTCATTTCTACAAAGAGAAATTCCTGTTTTATAAATAATAAATCACAATTGGATAATCTTAAAGTTGCTTTTAATACAAGGTAGGTGATTTTGCAGTAGAAGTAACCAAATACATATAAAAACATCTTACTTACAGCTCTGAAGTTTCAATATATTTTGCAGTTCCTTCAATAGTGTTACAATATTCTGTGGCAAATTTGGTAATAAGCTGAAGTAAAGTAGCACTTTTATCATCCACGGGTTCACCGTAGCTGTTCAGAAGAGACTGATACTGAGCAGCTAGAACATTGATTCTGGTCTTCAGCTCTGGTAAGCAGTCTCTGATGTGATGCATCAGTAACCTAACAATTAGAGAGGAGAGTTTGAAGGTAAAACTTTATTTTGATGCTCCAAGCAAGTCAGATATTTAAAATGCAAATAATGGAGGAAACTTGTCAAAGAATTTATTTTTGGCAGGCGTGATATTAAAAAACAATTATACATATATAATTTTCTTCCTTCCTCCACATTTCCTGGCATGCAGTTCCTAAAAGCCCCGGGCTCTCCAGAGTGACTTTTGCATACTAAGGAGACGACTGGTACACCTTGGGTCCCTGAAGAGCTTCAGGATGAGGGCTGCTCACTAGAAAGACCAGGTGTGATCAGAAGGATGCGATGTTCAGCCAGAGGCTGAGCTGATCACTAGTGGACAGTGATGTGCTCAATCTGTGTGTGTGTAATGAAGCTGCCATGGAAACAGGACAGTGTTTATGGAGTTGGACCCGTGTGGGCTCCCAGAGGGCACTGGGGCTTTTCCACATGCCTTGCCTTGTCCCCCTCCTCCATCAATATCCTCTACATTGTTACTTACAGTAAGCAGGTAAATTAAGTTGTGTTTTCCGCAGTGTTATGATCTGCCCTAGCAAATTTGCTGAGCCTGAGAAAGGGATCATGGGAGCCCTGATTTACAGTCAGATCATGAGAAGCACAGGCATGCCCTGTGCTTGCAACCTGCACGTGAAGTAGAAGAGCAATCTAACCCTGTGGGATCTGATGCCATCTAGGTTAGCAGTGGCAAAACTGACTTGGTAGAGGACACCCAGGGAGAATGACAAGAGAATATAGTGTATGGAGAAACCCACACCTCTGGCGTCAGAAGCGCTCACGGCTCTACTGAGTGGCTGTGAGACAGGAAGGAACACTGGATCACAAGAGCAGTGTGTAAAGGAATCTCAGATGAGAGGTAAATCGTCTTGAAAAACAAAAATGACATGAAGATATTTTGGTCAATGTTATTGAAATCTGCCTTCAACCCATCAAACTGGAGATTGCTTGAAAAAATGCAAATATTTTCATATTGTTGCAATTACCACAAAAAAGCCACTCAGTCCACTTTTACCTAATTTTGATTTCATCAACTTATCTTTTACAATAGGCAAAAATAGATCGTGCTCAAGTTATAAATCTTAATTCCATCCCTATATACAAGTAGAAATGAAGTCATGTTATCTAATTATAACCTCAAAATTAAGTTGTCAAAATTTTTAATTTTACTAAAACATTTTGTTTTGTTTTTGGTACCGGGGATTGAACTCGGGTCCTTGCACTGTGAACCACACCAATGAAAATAAGGGCTATCTACTTCCCAAAAACCTACTATACAGAAAACAGAAGTGAAACTGTCAGGAGCAGTGTAAAACACAAGCTACACACGAATAACGTCTCTGACGCTTGTTGGCAAACAAGTCTCATTTCTAAAAGGTAAAAAATGTTACCTGTTTAGAGTCCTAGCGAGGTACTTTGTTCCATTTCTATTAGCAAGAGATGGGTATTTCTTTTGAAGAAAAGCATATTCATCACGGATTGAATCAGTTACACTCTTCTTATTGTTAATATCTAGCTGGCTCCTAGGTTGAAAAGTAATAGAACTGTTCAACTAAAGTAAACTGTCATCCTCCCTCTACCCTAAAAGATACTGTCGATGATGACAATACTAGGTATTCTTCCCTAATGCCTGACGTGGACTGTTTTATGAAATTCTCACAATAATTCTGTGTGATAGGTATTATCCTATTTTATAGCAAGTAGCTGAATTCCAAGAGATTAATTTACCCAAGGCCATATATTAATTAGCATGGCTCAAATTTGAACTTTATTACTCATAAGGTAATTAAGGCCTGAATAGTGTAGGCCTCATTGTTACCATTATTATACCCAAAAGCAGTTAGGTAGAAAAATATAACTCTATCTTAGTCAACTATATTTCATTCATGTAAAGGCAACTAATTTCTACCAAAAATAATTAACTTGAAGACCAATCATGTACAAATACAAAAGCAGTATGACAGTATATCCTTGCCTGAAAAGGGAAATAGCTGGAATTAAACATAATTAGACAATAATAGTTTGCACAGCTATTTATAAGTAGGACAACTTTAATAAAATTTCTCCAAGTCATCCTGGCAACGCATAGCATCACTAATGCTAGAGGTTAAACAAATCTATTAAAATCCTTAAACTTTCTTGAATGGGTGTAAATCAGGTAATTTTTTTTCCTCCTTACCCAGTATTCTTCTCAGACAATAGCTTAAATAACAGACTAGAATACTTAAAGCCTGGCCTTGTGTTTGTGGCACTGCTTACTTTGGAAACATTTTCCATTAGAAATATTCATGAGAGGCTTTAGTGAATCTATTTCCTGCCTTCAGAGCAGTAAATTCTTTAGCAATACCAACATTATAGCAAAGGAGGGAAATCGGAGAGGATGACATTTCAGACTGATTTTAGTAATCAACACTTGCTCTGAAATGAGAATGCTATAATTCTGACCCCATTCTTGATTGCTAACCTGTTAACCACTCCGATTATTCCAAGTTTGACTGGAATAACCCTTCCCATCAACACATCCATGGCATCAGTACCCGCATCCATGAGATCAAGTTTAGTGATAACAGCGAGGGTTCTTCGGCCTGGCCAGTGCAAAAGGAAGAGAAGGAAGGGAGGGAGGGAGGAGAGAGGGAGAGGGAAGGGGAAGGGAGGGAAAGGAAAGAAAATGATTCATTAAATAAAGCCATTACGTATTAATATAGGAAAATTTTCACCTATAATGCCACCTAACATTACCTCTTCCATCATTTTGATAATACTTTTTTGACCTTTGCTTACACATACCTTCAAAAAATAATTTTAGGGCCAGGGATTTAGCTCAGTGGTTCCACCGCCTGCTTTCCAAGCAGAAGGACCCGAGTTCGATCCCCGGTACAAAATAAATAAATAAAATAAAAAATAATTTTAAACATCATGTACAATTGTAAAATGTTTTCACAGGCAAGTTTTAAAATCAGCTTTAGGACTAACTTTTTTTGGTTTGCTTCTTTAAAATTTACCCTTTTTGGGCATCATTTTTGGTGGTTTGTTTCTGTTTGTTTTGGTCAGTGGTGTGGATTGAGCCCAAGGCCTTGGCATGTTAAGCAGGGACTCCTGAGCTATATCCACAGCCTTTAGCTCTACTGCAGACAGGTGTCACCACTGCCTCAAAACAAGAGTTCCATTGCCCCTTACAGCTTTTTGTGCTCAACAGTCAAACTCGTTTCCATTACTACTTTTGGCTCTTTAAGAACGCTATATAAATGGAACTGCACAGCACATAGCCTCGTGCGTCTGGCTTCTTTCACTTAGCACAGTGCATGTGAGAGCTACGCACGTTGTTGGGTATGTCTGTAGCTCATTTCTTTTTATTGCCAAGTAGTGTCCCATTGTACAGGTGTACTATACTTGGGTATTCATTCCCCATTTAAGAAACAATTTATGTGTTTATATCTTAAGTTTTTGGAAACTATGAATATTGGATAGAAACTGCTATAGACATTTATATAATATTTTTATATGAACATAGGTTCTCATTTAGCATAGGTAGATACCTAGGAATGGGATTGTTGATTTCATGTTGTAAGAAACTCCCACACTGTTTTCTAAAGTAGCTATATCATTCTCACCATCAATATATGAAGACTTCCAGCTACTGTGAATAATGTATAATTTTACATAGGGCCGTGTGTGTGTGTGTGTGTGTGTGTGTGTGTGTGTGTGTGTGTGTG